TAGTTTTCTATGTTACCAGCATTCTGATCATGCTACAGATTTAAATTTATTGTGTACTTTGTACTTTCTCTACAAAGAGAACAAAAAAACAGGTTTTTTCTAAAGCATTTGAATATCAGGTCAGAGTTCTTCAGAACAGGTCTCATAGGACTTCCCCTTCACTAAACAGGCTGCAGAGATAATTAGCCTGGCCTTTTAGTTTCAAGGGCAGAGGAACCAAAAGCAGGTTATGTGGTTATAGACTCAAGAGGCTTAAACAAAAAGAAACTGGCTGAGTTTATATTCCAACCAAATCCCGAAACCACATGATCCAATTTCTCATCAGTCCTTCTGAGTGAAACCAGTTCCTCAGTGGTCATTCAGATTACAAACCTTGCGTTATACTGTCATGGAATGAATGATGACAGGACTAACTGGCTATCTCAACACCACAAAAACACAACCACTATCAGAAAAAAAAAAATTACCACAGGCAGAAAAATTTATACTATTTTGATATAAAACTACAATAGAAAGCCAAAAAACCATAAGGGCTCTTTGGCATAAATTTCCATGCTTTTGCTCCATCCACTATGATAGCCACCAATGTTTATATTTCAATTTAAATTGAAATAGCTACAATATGCAACATTTCCATCACTGCAGAAAGACTAATCACGCTGCTCTAAGACCTACATAAGAATCATGACAAGTTAACCTGACTTGTTTCCAATCCTTAGCATCTAAGTGCCTTGATAGCTCTCACAGTCATTTACACCAAACCAATCTCTAATGCTAACTTCAAGGTCATAACAGACTTTGCCCTTTATTTTCCACAAAGCTCCCTAAACTTAAAAAAAAAAAAAAAAAGTCTGTTCTTAAGTGATGAAACATGTATGCCTCAGAGAGTTTCACTATATAAAGAGTGACATCTCTCTCCTCTTGGGGACTGAAGGACCCAGGTGCCCCAAATAAGAGACTATTAGAAACAATTACAGTTCACAAAACAGTAAGAGCACTGTGGTCACCGTAAAGCTGAGTTCAGAAGAACATAAAGAAGTTTCCTTACTTCATCACTAAAAACTTCAGCTAACAAATATGAAGACACTCAAAAGGTACTCTCTGCAGAGAATATTGTTAAAAAAAACCAAGTTATGATTTCTGGATAATTATAAATTCCTGCTTTGAAGGAGTAAGATACACTGAAAGATCAAAACCTTTTTTTAATCAAAACCTTCAATTCAATAACAACAGAATGTCCAAACTCATTTCTTTTTTTTTTAAGATTTTATTTATTTATTTGACAGAGAGAGAGAGTGAGAGAGGGAACAGAAGTAGGGGGAGTGGGAGAGGGAGAAGCAGGGGGAGTGGGAGAGGGAGAAGCAGGCTTCCCGCTGAGCAGGGAGTCCGATGTGGGGCTCTATTCCAGGACCCTGGGATCATGACCTGAGCCAAAGGCAGACACTTAACGACTGAGCCACCCAGGCGCCCCCAAACTCATTTCTTATTGCTGTTTTCCCTCTAGGAGAGGAATGGCAGAAACCTCCTTCAATTTCATTCTATCTCAGGCTTCTATTGTTTACTTACTGGATCATTTTCTAGAGGAAGGTGGCAGAAGAATCCAATCAGACTCCTAATTTGAAGCAGTTTTTTAAGTTTATGCCCCAGGTTATAAAACTCTGAGCCAAGCCAGATGCACGATTTCCGCACTGCTTTGGAAATCCAGCTTCATGCTAACCCCACATTTCTTAACAGCAGCACTGCTGACACTTGGGGCCAGATCATTCTTCGTTGTGGGGGCTGCCCTGTGCATTGCAGGGCGTTGAGCGACATCCCTGACCTCTACCCACTAGATATCACGGACAGCCCTCCCCCACCTCCCCAGCCCCAGCAGTGACAACTAAACCATTCCCTGAGCATCCCCAGGCAAAATCGCTCCTGCTTGAGAACCACTGCTTTAACCCAAGGAACATTCTTAATTATCTCAACCCTAATTCTTCATATGCATTTGGTGCTCCTCCAAATCTCTGTGTGGAGACTTTGTCTCTCAATCCAGCAAATATTTATAGGACCTCTAGGACACAACATCAAGGGCTCTAGAAGATAAACAGAGGAGACAGATTCTGTCCCTTCTCTCAAGCAGATTTCTTGGGGGAAAGTACATAAAGAACTGTAATAACAGATACTCAATTATACAATGTTTTGAGTTGCTGATGTTTGTTCCTGGGGTACTCTCATCTTACCACACTAAAAATATCTTGAGGGCAAAGACCATAACCTGCCCTGGAATACCAATACTGGATCAATAGCCAGTAAAAACAAATGATTGTAAGCTTCATGAGAACAAGGTGACAGTTTCATACAGATAGTAAAATCACCACATTGACTTGGGCAGGTAAGTTAACCTCTCTCAGCTGTAGTTTGTTCTTCTATAAAATGGGGGGAAAGGGACACCTGCGTGGCTCAGTCAGTTGATCTGCCTTCAACTCAGGTTGTGATCTCGGGGGTCCTGGGGTCCAGCTCTGCCTCACTAGGGCTCAGTGGGGAGTCTGCTTCTCCCTCCGCCCCCCTCCCAACCGCTCGTGCTCTCTCTCAAATAAAATCTTTAAAAATAAAATAAAAGGGGGAGAAAATGACTGGTGACAGGATTAAGTCAGATAACACAATATCCACTTTCTGGCACAAAGAAGCATTCAATTAATGTAAGTTATCATTACTATTATTTTATTAGCAACAAATCGTACCTCAAGGGGAAGAGTGTGCTCTGGGCTACAGTAACAAGCCCTTCAGGACAGAAAAAGAAACCAACAGTCACCCTAAGGGCAAGAGGAAGAAAGTAACCAGAAGTATTTTTATCTATGTCCTGGGGGGAAAAAAGTGAATGCAGAACCCAATTAAAAGGGGGGGGGGAGGGGAGGAGGAATTCACTCTCAGAGACAAACCCACCATCCTCCAATATATTTGACTATTCTTACTCAAAATTTAAAATGTTTGGGTTTGTTTGCCATAAGCACACAAGGAGCTTAAGGGGAAGTAAAAAAAAAAAAAACACACAACACTCATAAATATTGACATACGCAAGGGACAGATGTTTATGAGACTCTTGAGTGTTCGTCTGCTGAATCTTTTAGAAATGCTTAAAATTTCTATTGCTCTAATGTTAAATACATGCCATCAATTTTGAATATACTACAAAGCATAAAAGTTCATACAAAGGAAAAACGGACAAAAATTGTTATATGTTTTAAAGTAAGAGAACATAAAATCACGGAGGAAAGCTGGGTGATTCAAAGGTGTGTGTGACTGAAGTAGCACTAGAGGATGGGAGATATTTGGGATAGAAGTAAAAGATGAGAAGAATCACCACCATGCAGGAAGACACAGATCCAGGAACACCTCTGAGAGCACACAGAGTTGAGGTGAGCAAAAACAGATCTTATTCTCAGAACAATGAATAACAACACCAGTTATAGTGTGTCCCGGGGGGCTAGGCACTGAAACTTCAGACAGTGACTCATGTAACTCTCCCGCCAATCTTAGGCGGGTACTGTTAGTACCCACATTTTTACAGATGAGGAGACTGAGACAGGGAGAAGTGACTGGCCCAAGGTCACTTAATCAGTACGGTGAAGATTCAGACTCTAACCCAGGCGCCCCCACCACCTCTACTATAGCTGATGGTGTCTATTTTCATTTCAGACTTGGAAAATTAATTTCTTACTTGCCACTTGGTGAAACCAGTTTTCTCCCCCTACCCTTTGAATCTCCATGTGTGGTGAGCATAAGGAGGCCCGAGAGGTCGAAGGGCGATGGATGCACCCTTCGCCTCTGGCTGCTGAAGTAACCCCCGCGCAGGAACTCGCGTGGGTAGAAACGAATGCGGGAGGGTCGCCAAAGTCCCTATTTCAGCCCCTAGGTCCTGCCTTTGCTCCGGCCACGATGCTCACTCAGAAGACCCCAGAACCTCCCGGCTCCCGCTCTGCTTCTTGTCTCCCCCACTCTGAGCGACCGAGAGGCGGCGGCGAGGCGCGGGGGCCCGTGTGCTGGGGCGGGGCGGGGGGGGTATGCAGGGCCAAGCGGGGCTCAGGCCAGCGGCAGGCGAGGATGCCCTGCCGGACCCGGGCAGAGAGCGCGCGGAAAAGCTGGGCCAGGACAGAGGTGGGCAGCGGGGTGCGGAGCCGCGAGCAGGGAACAGCGAGGCTGGCGGGGCTCGGGTCCGCGGCCACGGAGGGACCCGCGGGCGAGCTGAGGCTCAAGAGGCGCCGGGGGCACTGCCATCTGGGCCGATCGGAGAAAGGAAGCGGGACAGGAACCACGGCATTTCGAAACAGGAGTAGCGAGCAAGCTCGAGCGCAGTCCCGGGCCGGGCCGGGGAGGCGGGGGCCGAGGGCCCGGGCGCGGCCCGGGGGAGCGAAGGCGTAGACTCTGCGCGCGAAGGGGATGCCCGGGTGGGTCCGCTCCGCCGAGGGGCGCGGGGCAGAGTGGGACAGGGCGCGGCCGAGCCTCGCGCGACGAGCGGGGCCCCGAGGCCGGGCGGACCCACCCGCTGGCCCCCGGCTTGCGTACCTGAGGCGGCCGCCTGGCTCCCCTCCACACCCGGGCCGTCCCCGCCGCGGCCCGCCGGCCCCGCAGCCGCCTGCCTCTCCGACATCTGCAGCCAGCTCCGCTAGCGCCTCGGCCGCCTACAGCGAGTGGCTCCGGAAACAGCCGAAGGCCGAGCGAGCACGGCGGCGGCGGCGGCGGCGGCGCGCCGGGAGGAGCCGAGCGGGGCCCACGGGCCGGAAGAGGCGGCGCGCCAGCCCCCGAGCGGCCGCAGGGGCTTTGGGCAGCAGAGGCTGGCGACGCGGACGCAGGGAGGGTGACTGCGTGCTTTTGATCGCAGGTTTTTAGTCAGGGTTTGACAGAACAAACAAAACCTGGGGAAGATTCAGGAAGACTCGGCCGGAACTCATGGTATCCATAGCGACGCTATCGGAAGTTGAGGTTGCTAGGAGGCCTGGGCACGTTGGCTAACGTGCGTCATGGCTGAAGTCCCAGAGTATTACGATTCCGGCCCAGTAGAAGGAGATCTGGAGTATGAGGTAGTCGACCTACCAACGTCTCTTAAAGTGGCTCAAGATGCCGAAGCTGACACCATGGCAGAGGTAGGCCCGGAGCTACCTGTAGAGATTGACCAGGAACCCCAGCCAGAGACGAAGGAAAAAGACCTCGAAGAAGTGGGGGCGCGAGAGAATGTACACCTACACGTAAAACCAACCAGCACGTCCAAGGAGGAGATTCCCGAGGAGTCTGAGAGAGACCTTCCTAGCGAGACTGATCCAGGGATGCCGCAGGAGGCAAAGTCAGAGACATTGAGAGAGATGGGAGGAGAGCTTTTCAAGGATTTGGAGGTCCTTATGGATGATAAGGAGGAGCCAGATTTAGAGCCACCGGAGGAGGCCAAATTAGATGTTACGGAGGATGTACTTATAGAGTCAGATAAGGAAACAGATCCAGAGCCACCAGAGGAGACAGAGTCTGAAGATTCAGGGGCGTCAATCAGTGAGACAAGATTAGAGTTGCTAGAACAGACCATACTGGAGGTTCTGGAGGATTCATTGAAAGAGCAATATGAAGAAACAGGTCCAGAACCTCCGGACCAGACCAAACCTGAATTTCCAAGTGAGAAACTAAGAAAATCAATTGAAGAGGCAGATCTACAGCCGCCAAAGATGACCGTTCCAAAGGAAGCACAAAGAAAATCACCTGAGGAGAAAGGGAGGGAGCCATCTGAGCAGGCCAGACCAGAGTTTCCAGAAGGGAAACCAAGAGAAACTGAAGAGGCAGGTCTAGAACCTCCAGAAGAGACTAAACCAGAGGTTCCACAGGAGATACAAAGAAAAGCAACTGAGGAGAAAGAGACAGAGCCACCTGAACAGACTAAACCAGAGTTTCCAAAGGAGAAACAAAGTAAGTCTACTGAGGAGGCAGGTGTAGAACCACCAGAAGAGACTAAACCAGAGAATCCAGAGGAGGACCAAAGAAAATCAACTGAGAAGAAAGAGACAGAGCCACCTCAGCGGACCAAATCAGAGTTTCCAGACCAGAAACCAACTAAGTCTAGTGAAGAGAGAGGAAGAAAGTCAACTGAGGAGAAAGTTCCAGAGCCACTTGAAGAAACCAAATCAGAATTTCCTGAGGAAAAATCAAGAAAATCAATTGAGGAAACAGGTCTAGAGCCATCAGAAAAGACCAAACCAGAAGTTGAAGAGGAGACCCAGAAAGAGTCAACTGTGAAGACAGTTTTAGAACCACTAGAGGACACTCAACCATCAGAGCAAAAAGATAAGCAAAGAAAATCAACCGAGGAGACAGGACTGGCACCACCACAGAAGTCCAGATCAGAGCAGACAGTAAGAGACTCAACAGAGGAGAAAGGTCTAGAGCCAAAGTTTCCAAAGAAAGAACCAAGAAAATCAACTGAGGAAACAGATCAAATGCCACCACAGAAGACCAAACCAGAGGTCCAAGAGAAGACACAAACAGAGGAAACTAAAGAGAAAGATCTAGAATTACCAGATAAAGCCCAACTACCACTAAGAATAGTGTCATATACAGAATTTTTCAAGGAAGATAGGGCAAAACCAGTCAAATTTAAGTATTCCCTAGACAAGGATGAGCTAGAACATTCTGACTATCAAACGAGAAAGTGGTCATTAAAAGAAACCAAGAAAGCTAAAAAAGAGTCTATGTTCGGGTCTCTCACAATAAGTGAAGTAGACTCAGTGAGTGTAAGTTATGAGTTTTCTAAGGATTTTAAAGGACTGTTTGAGGTTACCGATATCAGTGATGATTTATACCCTTACCTCTCAGACTCTCAGAGGGATTTGAGAGAGTCTTTTAGTGAAAAAGTTGTAGCTTTGTCCCCGGAGTTGAAACAGGTACATGAAGATGAAGAAACCCAGCCAAAAGGAAGTGCTGAGCTACAATTTGAGTATCTTAAATGGAGCCCAGAGAAAGTTGCAGAGTGGATTAGTGAGCTAGGCTTCCCTCAATACAAGGTATACAAAAGTAACATTTTTAAAAATCACATTCTGTTATTCTATCTCTTATTCCTCTTACCCTTACCTGAGCTCTTGCCTCTTCTTCACTACAAGGAGGATAGAAAAGTCCTGGACTATGATAAAGGTAACTTGGATTTAAAGTTTGTCCTTTCCACTGATGTATTTTGTGTTTTGATAGAGGAAGGGAGGGTCACATTTGTTTGTTTTCCCTATTTATCACAATGAGTATACTTCTCTGCAATTCTTGAGTAAAGACTAAGAAATTTATATAGGCCTCTTTTCACAGGAACCTTTTTTTTTTTAACAGATTATGACCAAGGTAGACTTTTTGATACTTTGTCAAGTTGTTTTAGTGGCAACTGCCTTAACTTGTACTATTAATTAATTGCTCCAAATATGTCATGTGTATCATGAGCACCTAACAGTATTAATTTAAATAGCCAATTCACCAAGAGTAGTTTTATTAAAAAGACAAGAGTGAGGGGTGCCTGGGTGGCTCAATCGTTGGCCATCTGCCTTTGGCTCAGGTCCTGATCCCAGGGTCCTGGGATCGAGTCCCACGTTGGGCTCCCTGCTCGGCAGAGAGCCTGCTTCTCCCTCTCCCACTCCCCCTGCTTGTGTTCCTACTCTCGCTCTCTCTCTGTCAAATAAATAATTTTTTTAAAAAGTTTTAAAAAATAAAAAAGAGTGAATGTCAACTATATGTCAATAAAAATATAAATGAAAAATTTTAAAAACAGGAAACTGAAAAAAAAGATGGGGTGAATCCTCTTATTTCATTGATGCCAACTATGTTCTTAGGCTACAACAAAAAAAACACAAGGTCTGAAATCTTTTGTACTACTTAAAAATGTAATTGATGCATGAAAGAAGCACTAGGTGTATCATGCCAGAAAAAAAAATATTAAGGAACAGTATGAAACTTAATGGAAAGCTTAGATGGAAAGTATGTGGGATTATTAGGATTACTTTAAATTTGAGTTTAATTTAAAACTGAATTAAAATTTTTTCCCTATACAGAACTAGAAACAAACCTGATTTATCTTTCCCTCCCTCCCTTCCTTCCCTTCCCCCAACCCTTTCTTCTCCTTCCTTCCATCCCTCCTTTCTTTCTTTTCTTCATTCTATTTACCATAATCATTTGAGTGATATTCTTGTTGTTCTAACAGGAATGTTTTACCACAAACTTCATCTGTGGTCGAAAGCTCATTCATGTAAACTGTTCAAACCTCCCTCAGATGGGGATAACTGATTTTGAGGACATGAAGGTGAGTTGTGCTTCATGTTTCCCTATAGAACACTGTCTCAGACCAACCTCCTTCTCTGTCAGCCTGGCCTCCTATTTCTGTCAGTGATGTGACCATAATCGCAGCCCCATCCCCCCATCCCCACCCTCCCCCACACAGTGGTTTCTTCCTCTGTCTCCTTTGGTCCCCACAAAGATCCCAAGCACTGTCAGTTCCCTGTATAGCATCTGGCTTTTTCCATTCTCACTTGTTCAGACCTCTCTTGCCTCATTCCTAGAATATTCCAGTAGCCTCCTGCTTTTAGTCTCTGTCCATAGGCCTTTGGATTCAACAGCCCAGCTATTAGACTTTCACCCTCCAAGTATTTAGACTAGTCAGAAACCTTTGGATCCCCTGTGCTTGCAAGAGAGTCTCAGTGCTTTAGCTTAGGACTTGAGGCACTCCACAAGTTTTCTCCAGTCACCACTCTCTCCCCTGTGTCTCTACAGGAGTTTCCTGCTCAACCTCACAGGGTCTGACTCACACCCTTGAACTCCTGCCTTGTACATTCCTCCCTCTACATCTCTGCTCAGTCCCCCTCCCCCTGTATGACTAATATGAACCTTAATCATCCTTCAGGACCCAGCTCAGTTCTCATCTCCCCATGAAATCTTTCCTGACCTCCCCAACCCCAATAACCTCTCCCCCCAAGCTCTCATATACTGGATGTCTCTAACACCCATTTGGTACTTTTATAATGCCATATGTGTTTGGCTGCTTTGCTGCCTAACTTTGCAACAAGTTACATTAACCTCACTGGACCTCAATTTCCTAAGATCTCTCCAGCACCAACAGTCTATGATTATGCTTCTTTGTATAACACTACCCTTCATTTACAGTGCTTTATAGTTGACAAAGCTTCATACAAATAATCACATTTATAACTTTGCCTTTAATACCCCCCACTCCAACATATCAGTGTTCATTCAGTACACTCTTGAACATAAGCTCTGCCTCAGTGGTTCTCAAACTTGAATAGTCTTCGGAATCAGATGAGATTTTTTTTTTAAATTCCTAGGATTCATGCTCCAGAGATTTTGATTCATTAGGTCTGGGGTAGGCCCTGGAATTTGTTCCCTACGTGACTCTTGATCAGGCATTAAAACCATGTAATTCCATAAGTCATATGATTTAGAAAATAAAGTTATACTTGTTAATACCTAAGTCCTTTTCCTGGCAACAAGATATAAAGAAATCCTTTAAATTATTAAACGTAGTCCTAAGTGAACATTTAATCTTTTGACCTCTACTATAACCATCTTCTGAGTGCTTACCATGTGTTGGGCACCATACATACATTATTTCCTGTAATCCCCATTTTATAGAAGAGAAAACTGAGGCCCAGAAAGATGAAGCAACTTACACAAGATTATTCAGAGAGTAAGTTTAAGAGCCAGAATTCAGATCCATTCTGTATGACTTCCATGCTCTATTTAAACCACTATACTATATTGCCTCTCTAAATGAACAATTTTGTAACCATGAACCACTACATACGTAATGTGGAAAAGGACCACTCATTACAAATTGGTATCTCCAACCATACGTTCACATAGCTACCAAGTACCACCAGATAAAATATCTTAACTCTTTTTATGTTCAAAGATGATATGACTGGGCGCCTGGGTGGCTCAGATGGTTAAGCGTCTGCCTTCGGCTCAGGTCATGATCCCAGGGTCCTGGGATCGAGTCCCGCATCAGGCTCCCTGCTCCTTGGGAGCCTGCTTCTCCCTCTGCCTCTCTCTCTCTCTCTCTCTGTCTCTCATGAATAAATAAAAAAAATCTTTAAAAAAAAAAAAAAGATGATATGACTGTGTTTTTGAGCTCTAATTTCTACTTATGTTTATGGTGTTTTGGATTTTCTAAATATAAGAAATAGAAATAGCAAAATAGTAACCTGTAATACAAATTCCTGAAATGTTTTAAGTACCAACAATTTCAGCTGCTTATGAGAAAGCATTGTTCAGAGTCTGCCAATTCATTTTGTTTCTTTGACATTGATTCTAAAAATACAATATCAACAATGCAATAGGAAAAATTGTAATTATGCTTTTTCAGGCCTTGCAAGAAATAAGAGGTCTTAAAAATCTTCTGAAATCTGGGGCGCCTGGGTGGCTTAGTCGGTTAAGCGGCTGCCTTCAGCTCAGGTCATGATCCCAGGGTCCTGGGATTGAGCCCCACGTCAGGCTCCCTGCTCAGCGGAGAGCATGCTTCTTCCTCTCCCTCTCCCTGCTGTTCTGCCTACTTGTGCTCTCTCTCTCTCTCTGTCAAATAAATAAATAAAATCTTTAAAAAAAAAAATCTGGGGCATCTGGGTGGCTCAGTCGTTAAGCGTCTGCCTTTGGCTCAGGTCATGATCCCAGGGTCCCGAGGTGGAGCCCCGCATCGGGCTCCCCGCTCAGCGGGAGGCCTGCTTCTCCCTCTCCCACTCTCCCTGCTCGTGTTCCGTCTCTCATTGTGTCTCTTTCTGTCAAATAAATAAAATCTTTAAAAAAAAAATAAATAAAAATTTAAAAAAATTCTGAAATCCTCATGAGTAAATGATGTATCCAGTGATCTATCCTTATACCCCAAGAACTTTGAATAAGCAAACTTGGGAATACTTATCAAAGTCACCAGACAAATGTGGCCTCTCCTTGAAGTCACTAGAGTAATAAAGATCAAGACATTTAAAGGTATCTTAGAAAAGTTTGCTTGACACTTAGGTCCACAGAAGAAAGCTACTTATACACTGTGACAGAGGTAACTTTTTAGAGATCATACATGAGCTTAATGTTGGTTCGCAATCCTCTTGGGAGCTTTCCTTGTGTAATCTGAAACTGGCCCCTGTGCTCAGAGGGCAGGGAGCTACTGAAGAAGGAGGCAGGTCACTCCAGGTTGGTAGGTGGCAGTTTTAATAATAACAAAGGGAATTTACATACGAGGTTTGTCTTGGATGGCAGCAAGATGAATGGATCTCCACGCCTCGCCTTTAAATCTCAAAAGTTTATAAAGAGGCTCTAACTGGTTCAGTAACATATGCTGTGCAAGTGTTTTCAACACCATATCACCCTCTGAAGGCCATGTCCTTAAAGCAGCCTCTGGGAATGGGAAAGGCAAGTGGAACCCACATTCCAAGGACAGGGGAGGGGGTGAAGAACCTCTGAGTGCCTGAGTCCAGCTCATGGGTCAATCGGCAGTCACATCTTTTTTATCACATTCCCCAACACTTGAGTATTACCTTTCTTACTGATGTATAAGCATTTTTAATCCCACCATTGTAATTACAGCAACTAGTATATCCACAATTTATCCCACAACAACACTTACACAGTGTAATACTCTTTTTCATGCTAACTCTCCCACATCATCTGGGATGCCTGGGTGCCTCAGTCAAGTGTCCAACTGTTGGTTTCGGCTCAGGTCATAATCTCCTGGGTCATGATCTCATGCGTTGTGAGATCAAGCCCCACATTGGGCTCCGTGCTCAGAGGGGAGTTTGCTTTAAGATTCTCTCCCTCTGCCCCTCCCCTCACTTACTCACTCACTTGCTCTATCAGATAAATAAATCTTAAAAAAAAAACAACAAAAAAAAACCTCTCCTGCATCATCATTCATGGGCTTTGGCAGAGTGGCAGGACTGGGGAAAGAGCAGGTGGCTTGAGTTCAGAATTCCGGGCATGCTGCTAAGAAACAACCACATTTGGACTGCACATCCCATTTACAAGCTTTGCAGTTAATGTATGGCCAGTTTCTGTTCTCTTCAGCTTCCTTTTACTTCCTTAATTTTGCAATTATCCATGCTTACCCTGCATGGGAACTTACTATTCCCTTTGCCCTTCCTCCAACATACTGAGAAGACAAGAGAAGAGCTAACTGTGTGGGTGAGACCGATGGGGAGTATAGAAGGAAAGAAACACTAATTCTTTGAACCTGGCCAAGGAAGCTCTTGAAGCTACTATCCTGTTATTCCAATTTGTAGAGACGCATTAGCTTGGTAAAAAGGGGAGAGGAAGTCAACCTTATTTATTCTAGGGACAAGCCAGACAAAATAGCATTATACCTGCTTCAGCTTTGTCTCTTAGAAAATAATTCTTAAAATATTTTTAACTGTTAACTTCAAGTGAAGAAAAGAATTCTGTGATAAATATTTGAAGAATAATATAGGTGAATTGCTTATTCCTTTTGTATGCATGATTTTCTCTTACAAAATATAGCCTCATAAGCTTTATATCCCAGCAATTTTACTACACTTGCCTTGATGCAAACTATTTGAATAGCACAGATTCATAACGTGAGCAAATTATCACTAGACAAAAATATTTTTCTTTTTTCAACTTTCAATTTTCGAATTATTTTAGTTTTACAGAAGAGTTACAAAGATAGTACAAAGTTCCTATATACTCTTACCCCAGGATCCCCTAATGTTAACATCTTCTGTAACCATGGGACATTTAGCAAAACAAAGAAATTGGGGTGCCTGGGTGGCTCAGTCAGTTAAGCGTGTGACTCTTCATTTTGGCTCAGGTCTTGATCTCAGGGTCGTGAGATTGAGCACCACCTCAGGCTCTGCACTGGGCATGGTCTGATTAAGATTCTCTCGCCCTCTCCCTCTGCCCCTCAACCCCTCTCTCCTGCCCTTAAAAAAAAAAAAAATTTAACAGTGGTACAATACTATTAAGCAAATTACAGACTTTATTCAGATTTCTGCAATATTTCAACTGATGTCCTTTTTCTAATTCCAGAATCCAATCAGGGATACTACTTTGCCTTTAGCTGTCATTGTTTTCTTGGTCTCCTCCAATATGTGACAGTTTCCTGATCTTTGTCTTTCATGACCTTAACACTGAAAAGCAGTAGTCAAGTTTTTTGAAGATTTCCCTCAATTTTAGTTTGTCTCATGTTTCCCATGAAGATATGCATTTTGGGGGAGACTATCACAGAGGTGATGAGCCCTTTTCATCTCATCAGGGAGTACATGATATCAACGTGATTTTTTACGGGAGATGTGAACCTTGATCACTTGGTTAAGATGGTGTCTGCCAGGTTTCTTCACTGTGAAGTTCCTATGTTCCCTTTCCAGATTCTGTTTATTAGAAGTGAGTTAGTAGGTCCAGCCCACACTCAGAGAGAGGGGAATTAAGATCCACCTCCCGGAGGGAGGAGTACCAGAGTTTATGGACATATAGTAAAACTATCACAGTAATAAATATATTGGAGAAGATAGTTTGAGGCTATGCAAATATCCAGTTTCTCCTTAAAATTTGGCCTACTAATTTTAGCTTCCATCAGTGGATCTTGCCTGCAGCAGTTATTACTGTGGTGTTCTAATGGGGATTTTCTATTTTCCTCATTTCTTTCATGTTTAATTGGAACCCTTTGTAAGGAATTCTGTGTTTAATTGTCCCTTCTCCACCATTTGGGAACACTTTCAGTTTGGCCACTGTGTCCTCCTGACATGCTCCCCTTATTTTTTTCTAGTACTAGTACTCCAGCCAGAGCATTACATGTTACTTCAAACCATCTCCAAGGAGCCCTGGTTGCTTTTATCGGATTCTTAGAAACCAAGATGTGGCACTAGTTGTGCTTGTTGCTGTGGGGGTGTCACGGCTTCTAGGCACTCTGAGCAGAAAGACGTAGGAAATATATGTATATATACAAATCCCATGTATACACAGATTTCTTCTTTCTGTTAGCATGAGTTCATACTGTTCTCTCTGCCTCTAGCCCAGCACTGGCTTCATTCTAGCCTTCCCATCCTTTCTATTCCTTACCCCACTTGGCTTCTTGATAATTTCCTTCTCTGACAGGAGAAACCTGGCTCTCCTTATCTATAAATATGTATGCCTATGAGAAACAAATTTACCAATAGAGTATAGTGTTTGTCTACAGTTCTTTTTGTCTTCAGCCTTACACTACCTAGACAAAACACTGTTTTTCAAAGTTAGTTATTTAGGTCAGCTCCTTTCTTCCCTACCCCTTCAGTGAGATTATGTCTTACTTTGTAATACAATTAGATTCATTGTCCACAGCCTATATTCTATCATGGGTTCCTGAGACAGCTTTTTAAAAATTTGCATAAAGTCACTCTTTGTAGTGGGACAGTTCTGTGGGTTTTGGCAGATGCACAGGATCATGTATCCACCACACAGAACCATATAGAACAATTCTGTCACCCTAAAATTCCCCTTGTGTCCCCTTGGTAGTCAGCCTATCACTCCACCCCAAGCCCTGGCAACCACTAATCTGTTTCTTGTCGCTCTAGTTTTGCCTTTTCCAGAATGTCACATAAATGGAATCAAGTAATATGTAGCCTTTGAGTCAGGCTTCTTTTCCTTAGCAAAATGCATTTAAGATTAATCCACATTGCTATATGAATTGACAGGCAGATTTTAAGGAGACTATACATCTGCTTTAATAATGGTGGTGTAGATGATTCATATTTGAACCATAAGAAGATATCTTTAGGTTTAATTAAATAATAGCTTCCAATTATGCAAATGTGCATAGTTACATACTATAAGGTAACCAAACAGTATAACTAAATCGGTAATGATGAAGCAAAACCATCAGTAGCTTACAAATAAAAGAATAGCAGCCTTTGGGGGCACCTGGTTGGCTCACTCAGTTAAGCATCCAATTCTTGATCTCAGCTTAGGTCTTGATCTCAGGGCCCTGAGTTCAAGCCCCATACTGGGCTCCACACTGGGTGTGGAGCCTACTTTAAAAACCTTAATCAACACAGGATACAATGATGATATAGTAATAATAGAATCCTCTTGAAAACTGTAGGCGTTAAAATATCTGCTTGAGACCATGTGAAGTAGGTGCTCTGCAGTGATGTCAGGCATTGAGCATGGGCCACCATCTTAGAATGTGGAATTAAGAATCCTTAGGAGGGCACCTGGGTGGCTCAGTCGTTAAGCGTCTGCCTTTGGCTCAGGTCATGATCCCAGGGTCCTGGGATCGAGTCCCATATCGGGCTCCCTGCTTGGCGGGAGGCCTGCTTCTCCCTCTCCCACTCCCCCTGCTTGTGGTTCCTGCTTTCGCTCGCTCTCTGTCAAATTAATAAATAAAATCTTAAAAAAAAAAAAAGAATCCTTAGGAAATCCTAATAGTCTTCATGAATACCTATATTTAATAATCCTTACTAACTCAATTAAGTTACTCTTAAGTTGCTCTAAGTCTTAGGCAAAAATAAAATCTGTTGCTTGTTATTCATCAGAACTAAGAAAGAACTCACAATTTTAGGTTAATTTATAGCCCATCAAAGGACCCTCCTAGTCCTTTGCAAGAGATGGTCAGATTATATTTCCTGATTCCACATGTAACCAGTAGTTTTGTAACACTTTTAATTTCTGCATTAGAATATTAAACAGTACTGGACTTTCTCAGCCTACAGTAGGCACATAGCTCTTTTAGTTAATAGTGAATACATTTGTTTATGACTACAGAGTCCCTCCTGGGGACACCCATCTGTAAACCTCAGTGAATTTGTGAAATAACCTGCTTGGTAAGGGGCATTCAGGGTGAGTTGTTGACCAAAGAAGGTGCTCAGTGTAGCAGCATCAATTACAAATGAGAATTCTTAAGGGGTGGTAATTTGGATCTAAAAGCTCAATTGTATTCCCACTGGGTACAAGGCAACTGTGTAGACTCTCTTACCCACAAATCATCTCTAGACTCTAAATAAAACCAATTCAAGTAAGATTTGAGAAAAAGGTATCTTGTCTACCTATGATTTTTTAAATTTATTTTTTAATCAGAGAGAAAGAGAGAGTGAACACAAGCAGGAGGAGTGGCAGGCAGAGAGAGAAGCAGGCTCCCCGCTGAGCAAGGAGCCCAATGCAGGACTTGATTCCAGGACCTTAGAGTCCATGACCTGAGCCGAAGTCAGCCGCTTAACTGGCTGAGCCACCCAGGTATCCCTTGTCTATTTTTTAATTTTTTAATTTTTTTTAAAGATTTTATTTATTTGACAGAGAGAGACACAGCGAGAGAGGGAACACAAGCAGGGAGAGTGGGAGAGGGAGAAGCAGGCTTCCCGCGGAGCAGGGACCCCGATGCGGGGCTCGATCCCAGGACCCTGGGACCATGACCTGAGCTGAAGGCAGACACTTAACGACTGAGCCACCCAGGCACCCCTATCTATTTTTTTAAATAGTTTTGTTTTTTTGTTTTTTGAGAGAACGCGCACACTCACAAGCAGGGAGGGGGCAGAGGGAGAGAGAGAGAATCTTAAATCTTAAGCAGGCTCCACACTCAGCATGGAGCCCAACACAGGGCTCGATCTCACTAACACAAGATCATGACCCAAGCCAAAACCAAGAGTCGGACGCTTAACCAACTGAGCCACCCAGGTGCCCTGTATCTTAGCTATCTAAAATGCATTACTAATGGACAGTTTTGCATCAGGTTAAGAACTGTAGCATGAATGCATTTTACAACCTTGTAACTATGGCCAGTAGTTTTAAACTAAACTAAAAAAAAAAAAAAGGAAAGGAAAAAACTCCACTCACCCTTTTGGCTGCGTTCTAGCAGAAATTTCATTGACTACATTCTCATCCAGATGCAGAATATGAATTCAGATAGCAGTGTTATAGCAGACCTATGACTAAAGCTAGAATTTGAAAACACAGTGACAGTTTAATCTAGGATATCAAGTGGCATGGTGCTCAATAAATACAAAATATGTTTTAGAGACACTGAACACTGTGGCAAAGAATATTGTAAAGAATATACAAGTATAGGTACTAATAACACAGCTGGAACTTTAATATCTGCTTTTTAGTCTTTGAGATTTGTTTTTAGTCAAACAAATTGAGTAACTATTTGAGTAATGACCTTTTTTTTCTTAATTGCAAGTTAACAGAGCCCCTTGTAGACCAGTTATTTATTAACCTTCCCAGAGATAGTCATGGCTCTTAATCTAAACATATTATCTGCTCATATGGTTGATCAGATTGCTCAGCCCAAAGAAGGAAATGAACCCATATGCGGGAAGCTGATGCAAGGGCCTAGAAACATCTTTAAATGGAACTTATAAAAAGATAATAAATTACTTGGTGTTTTTCTTTAGAACTTTATTTTGGTAAGGACCTGGCTACTAAGACTTTCCATGTGTTATTTCATTATTTTATTTTCCCATAGAAATAAGAGGCTAGCGTTCAAGAGATCTAGGAAAATACTTTGATTTAGTTATATTTTCAGTAAATTTTTCATTAAAAAAATTATCCTTGTATTGCAGGCAATTTCTCGGCATACACGGGTGCTCCTGGGAATTGAAGAGCCATTGTTCAGTCGCACCATCGCCCTGCCCTACAGGGACAATATTGGCTTATTTTTAGAGCGAAAAGGTCATAGTGGGGTAAAATCTGATTCCTTGACCTTCTCTGAATTTGTGCAAGCAGCAGGATTACAGGATTATGCTCCAAAAACAACCGCCCCTGAAGAGAATGAAGCATTGCATTAACACTGAACCATACAGAAAAGCTGTTTCACTTACCTTGAAAGATCATATTAAACTACTTGGGGGCAAGAAGTGTGTTCTTTTGGGTTCTCTTCTTCTCTTCTTCATTAAGGATTGAAATTAGAACTGCTGGCTCCACTCCTAGTTCTATCACCACCTCTAAGCATCTTCCCTTCATTTGTGTTGCAATTCAGCCCTGTGTTTAAACAGAGCAATAGTTCTCTTTCTGGGTAATTGTAAGGATTCCTGATAAATTCTAGTAATGCATCTGGTAGTAGGAACATGTTAAGGAAATGGAATTAAAAGTAAAATCTCCTGCCAACCCAAATAAGGTTCTCCACAAATGCAGAAAAAGAAACAGTTATATGATTGAATCAGCACTAAATCAGTGATGGACATCACAGGCAAGCTGCTAAAGATTATGAAGTCAAGGAAATCCCACCCTTTTAGATAGCCAGGCAGATAGAACCCATTACTTACATGTTAACTGTCTGTATCCAAAGGAAAAATGAAACTTCTCATATCTTTATGATAAACAGGAAGTTACGATGTGGAGCCAGGCACTTAGGCCAGGGAGATAGGGTGCCATCCTCCTCATTGCTCCCATTTCAAACACAGTCTTGGGATGTAAAACTGGCAGGTGACTTCTTCAACTTGTTAGAAGATTTACATACATTTCAAAAACAGAAAAAGGATTTAAATTACATGTTTTCTAAAGGAAATGTTTTAAGAAAAGGGAGGAGGGGAGTTCTTTTTTTACATCAGAGAAAAAAATTTTATTTTATTTTTTAAAGATTTTATGTATTTATTTGACAGAGACACAGCATGAGAGGGAACACAAGCAGGGGGAGTGGAGAGGGAGAAGCAGGCTTCCCGATGAGCAGGGAGCCCCATGCGGGGCTCAATCCCAGGACCCCAGGATCATGACCTGAGCCGAAGGCAGATGCTTAATGACTGAGCCACCCAGGTGCCCCCCCAAAAAATTTTAGTATTTTTAAAAATTTGTATTTATCCTTACAAACAATGTGGCTTATAGAAGTGCCACTGACTATGGAATAGAGACTGGGGTTTGTTTACACGACTCTTTTATGTGGTACCTTCCAGACCTTTATAAAATGAAATTCAGGGGGTGCCTGGCTGGCTCAGTCAGTAGAGAATGCGCTCTTGATCTTGGGGTTGTGAGTTTGAGCCCCACATTGGGGGTAGGGTTTACAAGGGAAGGAAGGGAGGGAGGGAGGGAGGGAGGGAGGGAGGAAAGAAGGAAGAAAGAAAGAAATTTAGGCTAGAGTCTACCCATGACTGGGTAGACTGCTCAAAAGAAATGACAAAATACTTCTTGCTTGAATGACTCCAGGTCCTCTCTAGTTTTATAGACTTAACTGCTCTTTCTCTTCCCAGCCTCACTTCTTAACCCTAAGAGCCACTAAAGGACTACCATAATCCAGAAGGACAATGATGTACCCTGCCCAGTTCCCTACACCAAATGAATAGTCAAAGGAATCCCAATTCTTTTTTTTTTTTTTTCTGAGAAAAGGAACAGTACCTCAAATTAGCCTTCATACCAAACGTTAGTATCTGATGATGAACCTACTTTTTTCCCAAGTTGGACCAATGAAATTTCATCTCAGACCAGTCTACACCATACCATTGAGTTTGCCTGGCTCACAATTATGCAAAAAAGAAAAATGTAAATGATTAACCTAACATCATGGTGGTTTACATGTATAGTGAATGGTTTTGTTCAAAAGCACTTCACATTTAGCATTTAGTGCAATGACAGAGCATAGTCAGTGTCCTCCTCCTCAACCTGATGGTCACACTTCCCTTCTGTTGTTTTCTACTCTATATCACTGACATAAAGTATTTGCAAAACATAAAGGAAATAACTTTGCAGTGTAGGAAGATCTATATTTTGCAAAATTATTTTTAGCCATTTAATATAAATACCAGCTATTTGTAAAAATGGTTTTATGGTTTAAAATGGTTTAAATGGGGGTGCCTAGGTGGCTCAGTCGTTAAGCGTCTGCCTTCGGCTCAGGTCATGATCCCAGGGTCCTGGGATCGAGCCCCGCATCGGGCTCCTTGCTCTGTGGGAAGCCGGCTTCTCCCTCTCCCACTCCCCCTGCTTGTGTTCCCTCTCTCTCTGTCTCTCTCTCTGTCAAATAAATAAATAAAATCTTAACATAAAATAAAATAAAATGGTTTAAATGGGTGAGGGGCAGCTAGGGTACCATTGGGAAGCATTTCTATGTAAATTGCCTAAAAAGACCTCAGAAGAAAGGATCCTGACTCTCCAAGTGTCCAACAGTTTGAGATGAGCTATTTTTTTCTTTGTCAAGAAATACTTTTTTACCTATTTAAAATAAAAATAAAAATGGTTTAAATGGGAACAGCTTTAAATAAGATAGTTCCAGGACAGACATATATAGCTGAAATAAACATGAAATGAGTCATAATTAACATTGTTTACCACATTTTATTTCTTTATCCAAAATGGTAGGAAAATCAAGCTGTATCATTTGTCAGCTACACACTGCTATAGGAAAACAAGCTGCAGTATGTACTGTCTAATAATGACATAACTTCTTGAATTTAGCTTTTAGAAGAAAGATAATTTATATTAACATGGCTTTCCTCAGGAAGCAGCTTACTTAAGTGTGTCAGGTTCTACAGTGTGTCATTTGGTTGCTTCCAAAAAGCCAGACATACCCAAATACACTGATGTAAAAGACCTCTTGTTTTATTCTATATGTTAAAGACATTAGTACAATTTTCTAATTCCTTAATGCCCAAACATGTGGCAAACACAGTACACTCACAAGACTCCCAGTGTCAATTGTGATAATCAGGGTACAAGCATTGTGGAGGGAAAAAAATTCTGATTCCCAAGGTCTCTTCTCTTATTGAGAGTCAGAGCCTGTGGAAACCCCTGGCTGCTGTCCTTGGGGTAGGGAGATACCAAATGAATCACAGTATCGATAGGTAAGGTGGTCCTGGAGAGCAGTACTGGCTGAGAGATGCTGACCAAAGGGTGTTTCCTTGAGTTGCACAGCAGTCAGGTCAAACCAGGGGAAAGGCCTGGGGTGGGGGAAAAAAAATTCTGTTACTTTTTTATGTCTGTTTAATACATCTGATTTGGCTGTTGAACATTTCCTTTAAAGAAAGTTTTCCAACACTTGGAAATAAGGGTATTTTCTATATCAAACTAAAATTCATCAACATTCAGCTACAACTATTCACTATGTGGATTTAATTGTACTTGTGATGCGTTTTGCACATATGTGCATTTTTCTAAGTGCATTTGGGAGGGAATTCATAAAGAATGATTATAATAATGACATTGACATCCTTTTCAGTATATTTCTCTTGAATTTAGAAATAGAATATATAAGGGACACCTGGATGGCTCAGCAGGTTAAGCAACGGACTCTTGGTTTCGGCTCAGGTCATGATCTCAGGGTCAAGATATCAAGCCCTCTGTCGGTCACTGTGCTAGGTGTGGAGCCTGCTTAAGATTCTCTCTCTCCCTCTGCCCCTCCCCCCTGCTTGTGTGCAGACTCTTTCTCTTTAAAAAAAAAAAAAAGAGAGAAAGAAAATAGCATACATAAGAGGATCATGGACATTATTAGGAATAGAAAAGATCTGGAACACCTGAGTGGTACAGCCAGTTAAGTGTCTGACTCTTGGTTTCCGCTCAGGTTGTGATCTCAGGGTCATGCGATTGAGCCCTATATCGGGCTCCATGCCCAGTGGGGAGTCTGATTGGGATTCTCTTCCTCTCCCTCTGCCCCTGCCCCAGTGCGTGCTCTCTTTCTAAAATAAATAAATCTTTTTTTAAAAAAAGAAAAGATCTGGGGCACCTGGGTGGCTCAGTCATTAAGCTTCTGCCTTTGGCTCAGGTCATGATCCCAGAACCCTGGAATTGAGCCCCACATTGGGCTCCCTGCTCGGTGGGAAGCCTGCTTCTCCCTCTCCCACTCCCCCTGCTTGTGTTCCTGCTCTCGCTATCTCTCTGTCAAATAAATAAATAAATAAATAAAAAACCAGAAAAGATCTCATTTCTTTTAAGATATCCTCTTCAGTTGTATAGGGAAAGAAGTAGAAGTTAATATGCAAATAAAAACAGAGCAATGTTAAGTATTACTCAAGTCAATTCAAGTTAAAAAGTATTAAGACATAGGATTGTTACAGTGTTAAAAAGATCAGAGTAAAAGCAAGGATATCTGTTCTCACCCTTCTTATTTAACATAGTCCTGGAAGCTGTAGACGATGCAATAATGCAAGAAAGGGGGAAAAAAGTATACAGATTGGAAAGACAAAATGAATCTGTCCCTATTTATACGTGACATGATTGTTTATGTAGAAAATCCCAAGGAATCTATAAACAGAATGTCCCAGAACTAATAAATGAGTTCAGCAAAGTCACAGGAAATAATACAAAAACCAATTCTATTTATATATATATATATATATATATATAGGCAATGAACTCTTGGGCACTAAAATTAAAAATGCAATTCCATTCACACACATACAAAAGGAATACTTGGATGTAAATCTAACAAAACATATATAAGACTTGCATACTGGGGCACCTGGGTTGGCATAGTTGGTTAAAAGTGGCCAACTCTTGGTTTTGGCTCAGGTCATGACCTGGGGGTCGTGAGATTGAGCCCGGCATCCAGCTCTGTGCTCAAGACAGAGTCTGCTTGAGATTCTCTCTCCCTTCCCCTTACCCCTCCAGCTCATGCTCGTGCTCTCTTTCTCAAATAAATAAATGAACATTTACCACACACACACACACACACACACACACACACACACAAAAGACTTATATACTGAAAACTACAAAATGCTGATGAAATAAAGAAGATCTAAGTAAATGGAGAGACATACTGTGTTCATGGATGGGAAAACTCAACATAATAACGATGTCAATTCTCCACAAATTGATCTACAGATGTAATGGTAAGATAAAAATTAATTACAACACCAAATGCTGGTGAGGATGCAGAGAAACTGGATTATACATTGCTAGTGATAATGTATAACAGTACAACCACTCTGAAAAACACTTTGGCAATGTCTTAAAAAAACAAAACAAACTGAAACAAAAAGCATACAACTACCAAATGACCTAAGAATTGTAATCATGAGCATTTGTCCCAGAGAAATGAAAATTTATGTTCACAAAAAACCTGTACATGAATGTTCATAGCACTCTATTCATAATAGCCAAAAGCTGAAAAACAAAAACAAAAACAAAACAGCCAAAAATTGGAAACCACTCAGGAGTCCTTCAACAGATGAATGATTAAAGTATGGTACATCTGTGCTATGAATACTACTCAGCAATAAGAAGGAATAAACTATTAATATACACAGCAACTTGGATGAATCTCCAGAGATTTATGCTGAATGAAAAAAGCAAATCCCAAAAGGTTACATACTCTATAATTCCATTTATATAACATTCTGGAAATGACAAAATATGGAAATGGAAAACAGATTAACAATTGCCAAGTTGAGGAGATGGCCAATATGAAGGATCACTCAGTGATAGATCTGTTCTAGATCTTGACTATATCAGTGGCATTATCCTGGTTGTCGTATTCTATTATAGTTTTATCATATCCATGTAGAGATATTTGTACTAAAATTTGTACATTGGGGGAAAGTAGATAAATGGGTACATGGAATTTCTTTGTATTATTTTTAAAAACTGCATGTGAATGATTCCACTCATATGTGGAATTTAAGAAACAAAACAAATGAACATAGGGAAAGCGAAAAATAAAATAAAATGAAAATTGAGAGGGAGGCAAACCATAAGAGACAATAAACTCTAGGAAACAGGATTGCTGGAGGGGTGGGGGATGGGGGGAAGGGATAATTAGGTGATGGGCATTAAGGAGGGCACTTGATGTAATGAGCACTGGGTGTTATATGCAACTGATGAATCACTAAATTCTGTGTCTTGAACTAATAAAAAAAAGCAACCGCATGTAAATTATCTCAAAATAAAAGTTTTTTGGGGAGTGCCTGGGTGGCTCAGTCAGTTGGGCAGCCAACTCTTGCTTTCTGCTCAGGTCATGATTTCTGGGTCCTGGGATGGAGCCCTGAGTCAGGCTCTGCATTCAGTGCAGAGTCTGCATGAGGATTCTCTCTCTCCCTCTCCCTCTGCCCCTTCCCCTGCTCTCTAAAATAAATGAATAAATCTTTTACTTATTTATTTTTTAAAGATTTTATTTATTTATTTGTTTGTTTGACAGAGAGAGAGAGAGCCAGAGAGCACAAGCAGGAGGAACAGCAGAGGGAGAGGGAGAAGCAGACTCCCTGCTGAGCTGGGAACCCAGTGCAGGGCTCAATCCCAGGACCCTGGGATCATGATGTGATCTGAAGGCAGAGGCTTAACCGACTGAACTACCCAGGCACCGCAATAAATAAATCTTTTTTAAAAAGTTGTTTTTTTAAAAGAGTGGGGATGGGGCTGATGATATGGCTTCAAACTTAGCAAAGATTACTAAAAATATAAAGAGAATGTGAGAAACTACAATCAGAGTGGAAATACTAATATGTCATGCCTCTCACTCTAACAAATGATCTGATGGAAAAGAATGTAGAACAGCACTTTTCCAACTTTAATGTGGTTATCACTTGGGATTTTGTAAAAATGCAGATTCTGATTCCATATAACTGCGGTGAGGCCCCAGATTCTGTGTTTCTAAACAAATTCCCAGATGATGGCAAGGATCCCAGCTAGTCTGAGTAGCAAGGATATAGTGGATTTGACTAACACAGGAACTTTGTGCCCAACAAGGTCATCGTTCTTTTAAAGACCAATAGCACATAGCTGAAGAGGTTAGCTGAGCATTCTTAGCTCTTACTATTTTTATATTAATAATGTGATTGAAATTAAATGAGCCATAAATATTCAATTCAAGAAGCTAAGAAAAAGAACTACAAAATAATGCAAAAGAAAAGAGGAAGGAACTAATTATTAAAAAGTAGAAATATCTGAATTAAAAAGTTGGCCAGTAGAATTAATAAAACTATAAAATGATTATTTTTAAAAGAACAATAAAATAGACAAGCTGCTATCAAATATAACCAAGAAAAAAAGTTAAAACACATATACAATCTTAGAAATGCAAAATGAGATATAATCTGATGAGATTTTTAAAATACAAGTATAATCATAGGCCATCAAATTTGAAATCCAGATAAAAATGAAATATTTTTGCTAGAAAAATACCAATTACCAAAGTTGACTCAAGAAGTAGTAAACCTGAACAGATCATAAACTGGAAAAACTGAAAAGATAGTCAAATTGCAACTTCCCCTGCAAGATATTTGGACTAGAGAGATCTACAGTAAAGTTCTGTCAGATCTTCAAGAAATCTATAATTCCTCTGTTCTGTTCCAGAACATAAAGACTTCCTAATTCTATAACATTAACACAATATTGATACCAAATTTGAAAACTACAGACCAATTTTGAGTATGATATACATGTCATAAATAAAATACAAGCAAAACAGATCTGGAAGTGTATTATTAGGTAGAGTTTAAGAATGCAATGAAAGCTTAATATTAGGAAATCTATGTTGTTTACAACATTAATTAAAGGAAGGGAGAGATATGAAACCCAGTCTACACATACATTTTGGTTAATGTGAGTTTTCTTTTCTTTTCTTTTTTTTTTAAAGATTTTATTTATTTGAGAGAGAGAGAACGAGAGATAGAGAGCACGAGAGGGAAGAGGGTCAGAGGGAGAAGCAAACTCCCTGCTGAGCAGGGAACCCGATGCGGGACTCGATCCTGGGACTCCAGGATCATGACCTGAGCCGAAGGCAGTCGCTTAACCAACTGAGCCACCCAGGCACCCTGACTTTTCTTTTTTAAAGATTTTATTTATTTATTTGAGAGAGAGAGAGCATGCGTACACAAGCAGGGGGAATGGGGGGAGAGGCAGAGGGAGAAGCAGACTCTCTGCTGAGCAGGAAGCCCAATGCGGGGCTAGATCCAAGGACCCCGAGACCATCACCTGAGCCAAAGGCAGATGCTTAACCAACTGA